TTACCTCTGTAATTCTTCCTTTCAAATAAATCTTAAACACACACGCAATATTATCCAGGCAGGCAGGCTTCTACAGCAGCCCTGGGGCGGGCTTGGCGGATAGTGAAGCATTCTCTGTAGGGTCAGAAGGCAGAGGTGGGGATAGGGGAGGAAAGTGTGATCCTGGGTCAAGGCCAAGTGCAGTTAAGTGCTACTGACCAAAGGCACTTTGTGTCCTTATGCATCTGGGCTTCGTAACAAAGAACAAAACCTCGAAGCTCTGTGCTTTCTTCCTTAGTATACTCTCTGGCTGGCTCATATGCTAAGAGACTAATTCCCACTAGACGAGACTGGTTCCTTAGCTAGTGTGTATCGGAGTATTTTATGGCAATTTGCGAGAGTGGCGATGACTCGAAGCAGAAAAACCTGGCTACCTCTGAATCAGCCTTGGCACTAGCGTGTTCACCACGAAGGCAAACACAGAGGCAGCGTGTTAGGATGGATGAGAAAGCATCCCCACTTTCCTGCCGCCTCTGTGTGCTACGAGGGACACTTTCTGGAAGAATGAGACGCTCAGTGTCCCTGCCACAGGGTCAGGCATGGCAGGGAGGTACAGCGGGCACCCAACAGCCAGCCCTGAGCTCCCCTGAGCCGGGATTAACACCTCCCCACCACCTGCTTACCCGCACCCATCAAGTCCTCCAGAGAGGAGCTCAGCTCTCACCTCTACCCTTGCTGAGTCACCACTTCTCTTCTTATGCGACATCCACTCAGCGGGTTTGACAGAAGATGGGAAAGAGCCACCGGCCCTCCAACCCCGTTAGCTCCGTCTTTGATTATGTCTCAAGTGGGGCTGACCTTTCTAACTGGCTGAGACACGCTTTTCTCCCTTTGTTTCTGGAATGTTCCTCCCTTCTCTTATCCTCATCCATTTGGGGCTGTGGGCTCTCTCTCTCTCCCACACGAGCCTGTGTGCCACAGTCTGAAAGCTTGCGTCCCCCCTCAAAATTTACCTGTTGAAACCAAACCCCCCAAAGCCATGATATTAAGGGGGGGGGCTTAGGTATTAGGTCATAAGGCTCTGTGCTCATACGGAGGATTGGTGCCCCAGGAAAGGGGCCTGAAGGGACTTGCTCACCCCTTCTGCCACATGAGGCTCCATCTTTGAGGAACAAGAGTGAGCATAGGGCTCCCCAAGGCTGCTGTCAGAAGCCAGCCTTAGGTATGTTGGGACGGCAGCCTGAATGGACGGTGACACGGTATACGGGACAGCACAGAGGCGAGCAGTCTCAGGATGCCTGCTGGCAGCATGCCAGTTGGGAAAACACATTTCTTTTCCATCCTTTCTTCTCTCCACCTTTGCATCTGGGTAAAGGCAGGTTGACAACCCAGCTGTGCCTGGGCGATGAGTGCTTTCTAAAAACGGAAAGTGGCTTTGTAGCTGGAGTGCTGGTTTGCAAATAGGCCTACAGATTCTTTGTTGCTCCTCCATTCAGGAGGCGGGGCCCAGTCCTCTGCCCCCTAGCGTGTTCTGTCCTAGTGACTCCCTGCTCATGAAGGCACAGAGGGTGTGTGTTCCCCGAGACGAGGGCAGGCCTTGCTCTGTTTCTTGGGGAAGCACTCACTTCCTAGGGGAGAGTCAGTTGCTGTATGGTGAGATGGCCAAGCAGCCTCACAGAGAGGCCCATGTGGCAAGGAACCGAGACCCCCCCCTCTATAACCCCCCAGCCAACAACCCCTTGGCAGGAGCATACCAGCCCGGCCAGGTCAAGTGTTCAGAAAACCGCAGCTATGGACAACATCTACAGTTTTCTTGGAGACTCTGAGCCAGCGCCACCCAGCAAAGCATGTGGGAGATAATAAATGCTTGTTGTTCTAAGCTGCTAAGCTTTGGGATAATCTGTTTTATGGCAATCAATAACTAATATACTCTGCACGCAACTTCTTTCCAGCCGGGGCTCAGGGGTGCTTGGGTAAGGTCTGTCACATGTGAGTGGCTGAAGCTGTCAAAGCACTGACCAAGGACAGAGGTTATTTAGCAATTCTTTGGGTAAGAAGCTTGGCCCAGGAGTAGAGAACAGAACTTGTTTACTTTCTGTTTGTACTCTCGTCCCAAAGAATGGGCAGCCACCTACAGCCGGAACATGTTCAAGGAAGACGTGATTAAATAGAAAGAAGTTAACTGCCAAGCAAGAGGGCCAATGTAGTTGCAAACATCTGAGCCTTAACCATGACTCTGAGCTTCCTAATAGCCATGGCAAAAGAGGAAACTTAGTAAGTTTTGTATTCTTATTAATGGAAAAGAAAAAGAGCTTGCCCTAATACTGAATCTTAAGACAAAATTCTCTTGTGTTAGCAAAATTCATTTGGTTGTTTCTCGTGTTCTTTGGGAAGCAAGGTAGCAGCGTGACAGGGTTAAGCACGATGATGAATTCCAGAAAAGACAAGGAATCTCCCTGCCCCCCACCCCCACCCCAGGGCCCCACTACCTTTGAAAGGGGGCACAGAAATGTGCACTCACATATTTTTGGTCTGAGCTTGTCTTTCTCTTTGTCTGTTGGTAGAGATACATGTCCATATGTATATGCACCGTGCAAGTGCTTCTTGGGCAGCAATTTAAAATGCCACTTTATCTGCCGGCTTATCTCCCAGGTCTAGGTTGTGGGCTATAAATTCTTGCTGCTATCTTGGACTTGGCCCCAGAATCGGAATCCTTCAGCACATCTCGATACATTCCACCAATTCTTGACCTGCGGTGGGGTGGGAGGGGGCACACAGCCTGGGGGAGCTGGGGCCTGGGGGCTGTCCAGGGGCCTAACTGCTGATGTCAGCTTTCAGAGAGAGAGCTCTGCTCTGGGACTGTGCGGCAGAGAGGCCTTGCCACCCAGGCCACGGTGACAGGGAAAGCCAGGGCTGGGAGAGCTGCTGGGCCCTGCCTGGCTGGAGGCGAGGGAGGCCCCTGGGCATTGCTGTCAGAGCCAGGGCGCCTGGCCTCCAGCCCCTTCCTGCAGGCCTGGGGAGCTGTTTCCGGTAGGGTTGAAAAGAGAAGCGAGCTAGCTCACGCTTTGCCTGGCATTGCACGCTTCCCTTCATGTGCATTTTCTTCTTCCCTTTGACTTCCCTTCTCCATCTCCTCTTCTCTCCTCCTTGCAATCCTCCATCCTTCCTTCCCTCTTGCCGCCCCTCTGCAGGCATCTGAGGCCTGGGACTGGGGGTGCTGAGCCTTTTCCTCTGCCCCGCTCTTTGCTGGCATGCTGGTCCCTCTCACCTGGCTCGGCTGCTCTGCGTGTCTGTGCCTCTGAGTTCTCACCACGCCGGTTATTCTGTGTTATCGGTACAAGTACTTGACTAAAATAAGCTTCATAGCTATGATTGTCCCTTGGGTATCTGCAGGGCGCTGGTGCCAGGATCCCCATGGATATCCAAATCCTAGAACACTCAAGGCCCTTACAGGAGATGGCATAGTGGCTGCGCATAACCCCCACGCTTCCTTTTGTACATGTTAAATCATGTCTGGCTCGTTTATAATACCTACTGCCATGCAAACGCTATAACGTAAGTAGTCTCTATACCATATTGTTTAGGGAATAATGACGAGAAAGGAAATTCTGCACATGTTCAGTACACATGCGAACTTCTCTCCCGAATGTTTTCCAGCCTCATTTGGTTGAATCCATGGATATAGAAGCTGCAGATACAGAGGGCTGATTGTGTCTGTGTGATTGTTCCCCTGACCCTGTAACATATGTGCGCTCATTAGATTCCCAGTGCACTGGGTAGTGCCAGTGACACTGCAGACATCAATAGTCGCTGCCTGGATAAACGGATCCATGAGGAAGCATAGCTCGGAAACTTGTGTCAGGTGGCAGCCAGTGACTGACAGCTCCTGTGTGTTGAAGGTGGATTCTTCTACCTAGCAGGACAACTAGGATGCCCTGGACATCTCAGCTGCTGGACACCTGATGCCCAGGAACCAGAGATGCTACCTCCTCAGGCTGAACTCAAAGAGATGGCAGGACCAGCCTGGGTGTCCTCACAACCAAAGACCAGTCTCCCTGACCTTTCTTACTAGCTACCTGCAGTAAGGTACCGGGGCATAATGCCCCAGACCGGGTGGCTTCAGTGATAGAACTGCATTTTCTCGCAGTCCCAGAGGCTGGAAGTTCAAGATCAAGGTGTTGGTTGCACTGGCGACAGTCGGCCTGCTGGTGATCTCTTTCTCTGACAGAGTAAAGAACTGTGTTTCAGGGAGACGAAAGTAGGGATGGTAAAGCAAAAGTTTATTGAGATACATCCCAAGGGAGGAGCCGGCCAGGAAAGAGAGAGCACACAGCACCCTTGGTTCCTAGTTTGGGGTTTTTATCCCTGAAGCATGAGGAGCAGTAACTGGTGATGTGGCCGTGACGCTCACGATCAGCATTTGTGATTGACATCTGGGAGCTGCATAGGTTTGGTCTGTCGGTGCATATGGCTATGAACTGGTTTTTTTCTGGTTTGGCTCAGCTCCCATTTTACCAGGATATTTCAGCCACAAGTTAAACTGCAAAGTAGGCTGTCATGGGCGGGTTCCTGCAGAGAGCAGGAGTCTCACCCCTGGAAGAGGGGAAGAGGCTTGTGGCCTCCCTTTGCTCTCTTGTGCCTAATTACCTGCCTGACATTGGCACGAGGCCAGAAAAATGAGACTCAATGCTGCTTGACGCTGAGGGGCAGCTTCACTAGACAAAGGTTGATGCGAGGAAGTAGGGTTGCGCAAGAGGCCAGCAGGCTTGTGGGAGGAGCGTTCATGTGTGGTCTCAGAAGGGCTTTTCCCACCTAGCTAGTCAGTAAGAGCATTTGTGGAGGGTGGACGGGGATTGGGGAGGTAATGGGCTCCTGGGATTGCCAGGCAAACCTCCAGGGTCAGCTTGAAGCCTGCTGGGGGAGGGGCCCTTTGATTGTGGGGGTTGGGGTTACAGCTCTAGGGCAGGTCCAGATTCCAGCCACTGCCTGGCAGTCAGTCCCTGGAAGTCTTGTCGGTTGAGTTAAGCAGAGATTCCGATGAGTCATGAGATCAGCAGTTACCTTTTTGTTCATCAGAATGCGGAAAGCGAAAGGAAGACACATTCCCGTGCAGCTGCAGGTGTTGGCCTCGTCGCAAGGTTAGGATGGGAAAAGGGGAAGGCAGCTCTGTGCATTAGGTTATAGGCTTGATGGTTTCTTCCGAGGCCTCTCTCCTAGGCGCCTCCTAGGCTCAGGCTCTTTGGGTGCTGCCCGAGGGGAGGCTCCGCCCTCCTCATGCAGATGGTGGCGTCTCTGTCCTTATAGTTTCCTCCTATGACTTTCTGTGCTTCAACCAGATTCGCTGAGGGTCGGGTGTTCCTGTCCCACCTAGATGGCTCAGATCTCAATTATGGGGCTGCCCTGCTGGCCTCAGAACTCCTTTATAGGTGTTCCAATGCCACCCTTTCCGGACCACCTGGCGCTGTTTGGAGAGCCCAGTGACCTCCGGTTGTCTCCGCCACTGTGGACAGGACAGACGGAGCTACCTGCCTTTGTCCCAGGGCTGGCCTGGAGCTGGAGCATCTTGTCTCCCCTCCTGATTGTGCTCTGTGCCAGCAGAGACAGCCCACAGTCCCTGTGCTGGCTGCATTTCTAGAGACCTAGAGACCGGGAAGGAGAGGAACTCCCAGGTGCAAAGGGTGTGGGGAGGAAGGGAGATGGCACCACGGCTTCCACAGGGTGCTCACGTCCTCTGCTCGTCCCTCAGCCCATTACCAAGCTGCACACGGAATATTCCCAGCCCTGCAGCCCTGCTGCCTCTCTGCAATACCACTGCCCATCTGCATCAGCTCTATTAGAAGGTAAGCTCTATAAGGATAGGCATTTTCGTCAGCTTGGTTCCAGCTCCCAGATAAGCACCCAGGGAGCTGTTCAGTGAATGAATGAATGAGTGAATGAATGAACTCTGGCACTGCGAGCTCTTGGCAACCAGGACAGAGGGAGGGTCAGGAGCTGAGTGAGTCTTCCTGCCCGTTCTCAGGCTCTTGCTGTCGTTCGCACTGGGACGTGCCTGGTGCATCGGCATCGGGCTCCGGGGGTCTTGGTGTTAGCAGCACACCTCCAGGGGTCAGCAGTCAGGGGTCCGTGTCAGCTGCTGGAATGATCATCAGCTCATCTCAAAAATCCCTCTGGAGGTAGGTACTGTCGTTTTCAGAACAGAGTGTGAAGAGGTTAAGTGACCCCTCCCGGAACTACATAGCAAGCCACACGTCTGGAAATGGCTCTCTCACTTGTCTGGCTTCTCCTGCGAGCTCCTGTCTCTTCTTGGTTTTGTAGATATTTTAAGCTGTGTCGAGGCCTGCTCACCAGATGGCTTTTTAATCTCTCTCCTGTTGCTACATTATTAATCTCTAAATTGTTTAGTGGTGAGAACCGGTACAGAGAGGCCACATCTACATGGTGTGAGAGGCTTCTTGGGAAGGCCGCTGACATCTCACATGGGCCTTGGAGGAGGGCGGCCTAGGCTTGGGTGGAGGAACGAGAGGCAGAGCTGGGGCCGCGACGCTGGACTCCCGCTAGGCGGCGGCTGTTGTCATGGGGATCCAGAGGCCACACCCCTATGACCGGCAGCCCTGAACCTGATTTTCGTCAAGTATTCAGCTGGCGATGGCTTCCAGCTTTCGCCTGCTCCGAAGGGAAGACAGACCTCCTGGGAGGCATGCATTTTCTGAGAATCCATAACGCGCTGGATTCTGTCTTCTTCCTGGAAAATGGCTGATGGTGCAGGCCGAGATCTGCAAGTAGCGAAGTCCCACGGCCTGGAAGCTTTCCCTGGGCGCGCCGGCTCCTTAGAATGCGTCATGCGAAGCCTGGGGACAGACAGCTGCCACATGCCCTTTGAATAGGCTGTGTGTAGGAGGAGGCTGGGGAAGTTTCGTGGGGCTCTCCGGTCCCTCCATCTCGGCAGGCTGGAGTGGAAGGTGGCCTCGGAGGAGGAAGGTGGAGAGAGGTTGGGAATCTGCAAGGCTAATTTATTCTGCCAAGTCTACAGCATTTTGAACTTGCTCCACCCTTCCTATTTTCCATCTGTCTCATTATTCATCGCAGTAATATTTGGGCACTTGGAAAAGGGTGATATTTTAACATGAAGCTATTCCAAGGAGAAGGAAAAATATCCTCATTTGGCACACACCAGCCATGCAAATTAGCCTAAATAAAAATAAGACCAAAGGCAACTTAGAATATTATTGTACTTTTCCAGGCTCCCACCCATCCGTTGCAACCATCTCCTCATCCTGGCCGATGGCCTTGACAGGTGGAGAGATGTCAGCGCTAAAGACGCCACTCACACAGAGTGGACAGCAAAGATCCCACGCTCAGGCTGAAAGGGGACCAAGCCCACGAAGCGACTCGAGGCACCGGTGTGTGGACTTCCCACAAGTACACTCCCCTGCGTGGCCAGACGTGGCTGCTCGCAGCCCAGTGTGGCCAGGACCCTTTGCTCTGCTTGTTCTCGGGAGAGCTTTGAAGAGCTGTGTGTGTGTGTATCTGTGTGTGTGTGCATGTGTGTGTGTGTTCCTAGGGCCAGTGCCACGCATCCTGTATAGAAACAGGGTTGATCTGTCTTTTGGTTGTTTGTTTCTTTCTTTCTTTCTTCCGAAGGAGAAGAGAACACGATATTTCCCTGGCATGGGCAGTTTTCAGAGCAGGGTTATCAAATCATTCTCAAGCCTCAGGCAGCAAAGAAGCGGCTTCTCTGCTCTCTGCACGCGCACTGTTCCTCTCCTCTCTCTCACTCTTTCCCCCCTCTGCTCCTAGATTAAGTCCCTTTCTTGCCTTCCCTCCTTGTACCTTTTCTGGGTGTGCCTCCTGTTTGCTTCGGGCTCCAGGGTCCCCCAAAACTCGACGCCATATGCAAGTGCAGAATTGAGGGCACAGTCCACAGCCACCCAAGAGGACGGATGATGGCTTGATGGCTTTTTGAATTAATTTCCTTGAGGCACAGTTGAGAGGCATCATTGGCTACAGTCTCCAAACCGTCCCCTCGTTGTATTTGTGAACAGTTCTGAAAGGCGATTCTCGGTCCGCTGCATTTATCTCAAGGATCCGACACTTCCTGGGCCTGTCATGCAGGAGGCAAACGTCACCATAGCCAGTTCACGGCTCTGATTTCAAAGGTCATAGACTGCTGGTTCTATACCTTGATTTGTTGTGGTGGGTTTTTCATGATATACGAAACCAACAATGTTGACTTAGGAACTCATTTTTTTTAGTCTTTCTTCACACGTGGATGGCAGGGATCACACAACTTGAGCCATCACCTGCTGCCTCCCAGGGTGCACATTAGCAGGAGTCGGGAATCCCTAGCATTGCTGAGACTGAGCCCAGGTACCACAGTGTGACACGTGGGTGGCTCAAGCAGTGTCTCAATGTCTGTGTCAAAGCTGCCCCAACACCCACCCCGTCATCTGTTTTGTTTTTAAGATTTATTTACTTATGTGAAAGTCAGAGAGAGAAAGAGAGGCAGAAAGAGAGAGGTCTTCCATCCACTGGTTCACTCCCCAATTGGCTGCAACGGCCAGAACTGTGCCGATCCGAAGCCAGGAGCCAGGAGCTTTTTCTGGGTCTCCCATGTGGGTGCAGGGGCCCAAGGACTTGGGCCATCTTCTACTGCTTTCCTAGGCCATAGCAGAGAGCTGTATTGGAAGTGGAGCAGCCGGGACTCAAACCCGCACCTATATGGGATGCCAGCACTGCAGGCGGCAGCTTCACCCGCTGTGCCGCAGCGCCAGCCCCTGTCATCTGTTTTTGACCTGAGAACTACTTCACGGAGGAAACATGCCAAGAGATACGTGGCAAAGTGCTGAGGTGTCCAACCTCTAAAGCTGGTTTTCCAGTCAAGTCCAATGGGAGAGGAGTGAGACTCCTGAAGTGCTGTGTGAACCCCACTCCCCCAGATCTGGGGTTTCTGTTTCCAGGTAAAACCGCCAAGCTCTTAATTCTTTCACCTGAACGTTTGGTACCCTTCATTAATGATGTTTTCATTCTTCCCTAGCAGCTCCACATTTCTTTTTTTTCCCCCTGTCTGCCTCAACTTCTCATTCTTCCTGGTAGATCAAAGGCCAACTCCTAGCCTCATGCTTGACTTCTATAAAATATCCTTCATATTTTTCATGTTCTTTGATTTAGTAATTCCACATGGAGCAATTTCTTTGTGTTTTCCTGGACAAATATTTAGGCATAAAGGTGAGCACTGGAGCATCAAAAATTGGAAACAAGATATTTGAATACATTATGAACAATGATGAAATGGAATATTACGCAGTCATTTCAAATGTTATAAAAGGTTAAAGATATGAAAAAAGTCTCCAATGTATTATTTAGCAGAGGTAAAATGACAGTTATAAATACTGATTACTTGTCATTTGATTAAAAATATACACACAAAGTTTTGTTTTTTAAAAGAGGTACATTAGTATATACATCAAAGTGTAGACATGAGGGGCTGGCACTCTGGTGAAGCAGGTTAAGCCTCTGCCTGAGACAACGACATCCTATATGGGTTCTTGTTCAGGTCCTGGCTGTTCTACTTCTGATCCAGTTCCCTGCTGATGCCGTGGGAAAGCAACAAAAGATGGCCCAAGTGCTTGGGCCCCCACATCCACGTGGGAGAAGCTCCTGACTCCTGGCTTTGGCTGGGCCCAGATGCAGCCGTTGCAGCCATTTGGGGAGTGAACCAGCAGATGGAAGATCTCTCTCTTTCTCTCTCTCTCTCTCTCTCTCTCTCTCTCTCTCTTCCTCTTCTCCTCTCTAACTCTGACTTTCAAATACATAAAAAATAAATTTTTTAAAAAAAGCTTTAACTTCATTTTTTTAAAAATGTAAACATAGTTGTCTGTAACTAATTGGATTAGAGGCAAGTTTGCCCCCTTAATTTTTAAAATCTATTTTACTCATCAATTTTAATTGTTTTGCTTAAATGTATCTTCTCCTATGTTTATTTAAAAATAAACTGTATCCTCTTATTAAATTATGATTTCCTACTTCATCAAGAAGTTGGAACTAAACTCAGGAGGGAATTAGAGAAGTCGTAGAAAGGTCAAAATTAAGCCACAGTGCTGGTGTCCAGAGGCAGGCCACGAGAAGCAAAATCTCTCCTCATTGGAACCTGATTAATCCAAATCCTAAATTAATCAGAGTTTACACTTAGGAACTCTGTTGAACATTTAGCCCTACCAGAGAATTTTTGGCAGGAGAAAGCACCAGTCTGATCTGGGATGGCAATGCCCACATGTTTATTTCTTTGGGTTTAAAAGCTTTGTCTGGCTTGCGAGTCCCATTGCCCACCTACAGTTTAGCCTGGCAGCCCTGAGTGTGACCTGATCCACCTCCCTGCTGATGCGCTTAGGAAAGCAGTAGAAGATGACTCAAGAGCTTGGGCCCCTGCACCCATGTGGGAGACCCAGAGGAAGTTCCTGTCCCCTGACTTCAGGCTGGCCCAGCCCTGCTCATTGTAGCCGTTTGCGGAATGAACTAGTGAATGGAAGATCTTTCTCTGTGTGTGTGTGTGTGTATCTCCCCCCCACCCCACTCTACCTTTCAAATAAGTAAAAAAATAAATCTTAAAAAATATATAAATAAAGCCTTCTTGTTTCTATCACTGTGTGGCAATATGCTTACCAGAGTATTTCAAAAAAATTCATGGAAAACAGAATCCACACATAAATTTTTTCATAACGTGCATTTTCATAAACTTTTAGAAGACCCCTTTTATGCTTGGATTTCAAAATTTTTTTGGCATCAGAACAAATTTATCTTTTAATTCCATTTTCTTTAAAAAAAAGATTTATTTATTTTATTTGAAAGAGCCACACAGAGAGAAAAGGAGAGGCAGAGAGAGAGAGGTCTTCCATCCACTGGTTCACTCTCCAATTGGCTGCAATGGCTGGAGCTGCGCCAATCCGAAGCCAGGAGCCAGGAGCTTCTTCCAGGTCTTCCACGTGGGTGCAGGGGCCCAAGGACTTGGGCCATCTTCCACTGCTTTCCCAGGCCATAGCAGAGAGCTGGATCAGAAGTAGAGCAGCCAGGACTTGAACCAGTACCCATATGGGATGCTGGCACTGCAGGTGGCAGCTTTACCTGCTACGCCACAGCGCCAGTCCCTAATTCCATTTTCTGTGAGCAGTTTGAAGCACACTCACCCATGGAAGCTCTATGTCACTGTCAAATTCTCAGCCTTTGTGTCGCCCTTTGCCCCACAGCTGGGGTGCTGGGCTTCCATCTTCAGGCTCAACCTGACATTGGTTGCCTTGACAGCTCCTAGCCTTGAGCCTCAGGGACTCAGCACGCAGGCTCACCACTTTCAGGTCAACTTGTGCTCCTCTCCTTATTCCAGGGACCCTCTGCCCATTCTCTCTAGGACTCGAAATCCTACTTTAACCCATACATTGCTCAGGAATCCCAGAGCACATGAGTGGCTGCCCCCAGTTAGGGTGCAGTGACGGAGTCTCTGAATTCCGGTGTGATTGGCATACGGCATGATCTACACTGCTGTCTACACTGGACCTCACCTACTTCGGGGCAGCACTTCTACAAATGCCAACTCACTCAGTTATTGAGTGGCTACTCTGTTCCAGGCTCCATTCCAGGTTATAGAGAGACTGGTTTCATACTGCATTTAGGAAGTGGGAATAGGGGGCACTGTGGTGTAGCGGGTAAAGCCACCACCTGCGACTCCAGCATCCCATATGGGCTACGGTTTGAGACCCGGATGCTCCACCTTCTGATCTAGCTCCCTGCTGATGGCCTGGGAAAACAGTGGATGACAGCTCAAGTGCCTGGGCCCCTGTACCAATGTGGGAGACTCAGAAGAAGCTCCTGGCTCCTGGCTTCAGCCTGGCCCAGCCAGTGTGGCCATTTGGGGAGTGAACCAGTAGATGAAAGATCTCTGTGTGTATCTCCCTCTCTCTTGTAACTCTGACTTTAAAACAAATGAATCTTTTTTTGAAAAGTGAGAATAAATTAATTCTATTCTTAGAAGCAAAAGAAAGCAAGATAACTTACATACTTAAACTCCAGCTTTAATTCATCACATTGGTTTTTCTTCTCTTTGAATACACATTTGCCACATTGCATTTTCTTTTCAAGATGTTTGCTTTCCCTTAACAGATAAGTAAAGCAATTGTAGTTTTTTTTTTTTAATGATTACACCCAAAGATTGGCTTCTACTATAACTCTAGAATAGTATTTACTTTCAAAGACCATAGGCCAAAAACCAAAACTACTTTGAAACTCTTTACAATTTACACTGTGAGATATATTCAGTATTTTGCCCATGTCTACATAATGAGGATATTTCTGTCTTTTCACTGACTACACATACTGGCCCTGATTTGCTGATACAGATTTAACAAATTCTTTGGAATAAAATAGCCTGTACGACAGCTCTCCCGGCAGGTTGCTGTCCATTGGACAGATTTTAACGTTTTATTTAATAAAGCTGCTTGGGAAAGTCTTTATGTAGTTTGGGCATCATTTATTTTTTTGTTTGTTTCTTAATTCGATAACTGATCGTCTGGTTTGTGTAACCACATATGGTCTTTAAGGGTAAAGACAAAAGGTTGCTTAAGAGGGCTTTCGGGTTCTTGGTTCCTAAGTATAGGAGGGAAACAGGGCAGGCTTTTTCATCTGAAGAGTTCACAGGCTATTAAAAACATTAACAAGGTTTTACTGCATCCCCTAGGATAAAAATAATTGCTTTATAAATGGAAATCGGGCTTTAGAGTGAATATGGCAAGAGAATCTACTTAGAAGCCGGAAAAGGCAGAAACAGAAAACATGAGTTCTGATTCGTGTGCCATTACTTTAATCGCTAAACGCCACTCAGTTTAAGCTAAAGAGATATAATGGTGCCTTTGACAGACGCGTTCACATCAAGATTAGACAGGAGCCCTGCAAGTGTATCGTTGAACCCTTCTTACCTTCTGCCAAGGACGTCACTCAAAATCTCTCCCCTCAGTTCTCCTCCGACCGATTCTGCAGTTCCCAGCCAGTCCTGGAGCAGCCCCATGCGCACTAACCAGGTGAACCTGGTTTCACAGGAACACCTGTGTGTAAATGATATGCTAATAATTCAAGTTGTGTTTTAAGTGCACCATAGGGATCTCACTATTCAGAACACTGAAACAAATGCCTTTGTAAAGCAGAATCCCCCTTTTGTAATGTAAACAATGTAGGCCCAGGCAAAGCCTCCAATTCACCTAAGTTTAGATTTTTGCAAATTGGGTTTCATTAAGGCAGAATATACCTCTAAATGAAAATACGTTAAGTGACAGCTCTTTTGCCCATCAGAGTGGTTTTTAAAAATCTCATTACAATAAAGTCCATTAGTTTGAATAATTAAACACACAAAAACATGCTTTCTGTATGCTTTGAAATTGCCAGTTTCAATAGAAAAAAAAAAGCTCACCATTGAATGGCTTGTTTTTAAGCTCATATTTCCATCTTGTTTTAAAATGGCAAATAGTATAATGACAAACATGAGACAAAAGTGCAAGTGCAGAGTGAGGCAGCACCTCACCAAGAGGCCATTGCCTTCTTCTGGGCTGGCAGAGGAGGGAGTCTGAGCTCTGAAGACTGGGAGAAGAAACAGGCCCATGTGTCACCACTACAAGCTTACGACAACTCTGCAGTCCTATGGAAGTAAGGATGCTACAGAAGCTTGGAGAGGTTGGGGCTCCTGTCTGAAGTCAGGAGTTCTAAGCAGAGGTCAGAATTCCAACTGGGGCCAGCATTCTGCTGCAGCAGGTTAAGCTGCAGCTTGCAATGCCTGCATCCCCTATCAGAACCCTAGCTGGAGTCCCAGCTACTTTGCTTCCGATCTAGCTCCCTGCTGACACTCCTGGGAAGGCCCAGAAGATGGCCCAAGTGCTTGGGCCCCAGCTACCCACGCTGAAAGACCCAGATGGAGTTCCAGGCTCCTGGCTTTGGCCTGGTCCAGTCTCAGCTGTTGGGGCCATTTGGGGAGTGGACCAGTGGATAGAAGATGTCACTTTGTCTCCCCCTCTGTCACTCTGTCTCTGTCAATTAAATCTTTTTTTTTTTTTTTTTTTTGACAGGCAATCTGTCAGTGTCCGAGAAAGACAGACAGAAAAGTCTTGCTTTGCATTGGTCGCCTTCAATTGCACGTTGGCTTGCTCTGTCCGGCCCACGTATCGATCGAAGGCAGGAGCCAGGTACCTATCCCTGTCTTACCAGCAAGTGCAGGGCCTCACGCACCTAGGCCCATCCCTCCCCTGCACTCCCGGGCCCACAGCAGAGAGCCGGCCTGGAAGGAGGTGCAACCGGGACAGAATCGGCAACCCAACCGGGACTAGAACCCGTTGTGCTGGCGCTGCAAGGCAGAGGATTAGCCTATTGAGTCGTCCGCCATCCATTCAATTTAAGGAAGGGAGGGAGGGAGGGAGGGAGGAAGGAAGGAAGGGGAAAAGAGAAGAAATGAGAAGAGAAGGGAAGAGAAGAGAGGAGAGGAGAGGAGAGGAGAGGAGAGGAGAGGAGAGGAGAGGAGAGGAGAGGAGAGGAGAAGGGAGGGGATGGGAGGGGAGGGAAGGGGAGGGGAGAGGAGGGAAACCACACTCTGCATCTGGAATCAATGCTCTAAACCCCTCTGCCTACAATTCAGTTGAACTAGAAACTGTCAATACTTGAACATTCGGCACTCAGAAAGATGAAATTCACATTGTTCACCTAAAACCTTGCTGTCATACAGAAACCAAGAAGAGATGGGTAGGGATGAGCCATATGGCCTGAGTCTGTGTGTCAGGACCAGAGGAGCCCCAGCTGTTCTCCCCTCCAGCCCTGCCTGCTCCCAGGTGCCGCCCCTCCCCTCCCCCATCTTCGGGTTTACTCTGCGCAGCTGCATTTTAATTCTGGGTTGTTAGAGGGGACTGTCCATTCATCAGGTCTTGTGTGATGAGCTGAGACACCGACCTGAGCAGAGTTTGGTCTGTGACCTGGAAGCCTCCACGGCTTCACTCCTGAGACAACAGGTCAAGGGTAATGAGTGACGGCACAGAATCATTTCTGGGATGGCCCAGCTGTGTCTGCACATGGGGACAGTCACGCCGACTTAGCACACCCCTCAAAGGGAGGCGAGGGGGGGGGCCGCCTGTCCCTCACCTCCAGCCCTCTCTCAAGGACCTCCTCATGGCCAGAGTCCTCACCCTTGGAGGTGAAAGTCACAAAAGATGTTTGGATGAAGGAACTGCAAAGTCTAGACCAACCCCACATAGAATCTGGTCATTCTTCGTATCTCCATTGTAACTCAAAGACCTGTCATGGCACAGCTCAAAGGAAACCCAGACTCGGGCTTCTGTCTCACACACTGCATTTAGTTTTAGCAAAATCCCAGGAAAGAAAATAATTTGGAAAATGGTGGCTAAACTCATTCAGATTTAGCTTACAGACCCATGTGTCCATGTGTTCATTAAGGAGACGTTTTTAAAGTGAGCCAATCATTCAGGTAGTTTTAAAACAAACAAAAAAACAAACAAACAGAATATCCTTCTAGAACATCACCTTGCAGAATTGTGGAGTGCCCGCTGCACGCGACTTCATACACTGCTCCTAGAAATGGTTTCCTTTGGAACCCAGCCTTTCCAGATGGTTTCCG